TCATTACGTATAGGTAATTTACAAATGCTGCTTGAGATCAGATTAATCAACGCACACACACACACACACACACACACACACACACGCGCACACACACACACACACACACACACACACACAAACAAAACAAAGCGAAAAAAAATCAAAATTGCATTAAGTCTGGGTTGTCCCAATTCCTATTTCTACAACAAAAGATGTAATATGTTGCTCTAATGGCTTTATTTATCATTTTCTTGACTATGTTAATTAAGTTGCTGCTTTTTGTCGATGCCAGTGTTATTCATCATGTCTAAGAACGTAGAGCATTCATCTATAATAGCAATACTAATGATAATAACAATAATAATAATAATGATGATGATGATGATTATAATAACGATAATAATTCTATGATAAGATCATAAAATTGATAATGATAATGATAACAACATACTGTAAAATTCAAGCCAAGTAAATTCAAACAGAAAATGCTAGTCGCACTAAATCTTTACCAAACGTGCAAGATAGGCAGCTAAAACAGTCGACCACATTTTTACATCAGTATTTTTACAGAAATCATAGATAAATACAGAGCGACCGAGTTTCCTTCCTGAAAGAAGAGAATACAAACTTAATTGTTCTCTTGAGAGATCTGAGATCTTTGTCTCTAGTATCGAGATATATAATAACTAATGAGCCAGATTTATCTCATATGAAATTTTAACAATGAATACTAAGTTTTTGCTTTGATGTCTGACATTGCAATCGGTTTTCCAAAGAAGAGAATAAAACAGTATGCATCCGCGAAAACTAAATTAAATCACTATACAATGAAAGCCAAAGAAACTGTACATTATAACAGCTTACTTTTCAAACTCTAAATGCTTCGTTGGCGAATCACGTATACGGGCTTGAAATGTCTAAACCATGAAACTCCATTTAACGCCTGGGCCAAACAGTTTGGTAGATTTAAGCCGAGGTAAAAATCATTAGGCATCGATTACTTAATTTTCGACTTATTGGGTCGAAAAATAACAACAGCTTAGTTATGATTGTAGCACCGAACAAGTTATGTAACAAAGACTGATGAATAGCCCAACATGGCATCTACTAAGAATCAGCAACTATGTACAGCGTAAAGATATCTCGTTGGAAGCTATTCATCAAAGTGATAAAACTTTAAGAGGAGATGGAATAATCTGATAGAGACAATACGGATCGATTACCCAGCTATAATTAATCGGTCCCTGTTGAAACTCACCATCCAGATCATCGTGTTCAACAGCCCTTCGCGCAGTTATCCTAACTACATTTTGTTGCTCAAAGTATGAAAAAAGCCCAAGAAGCTGTTCAACTAGCGGCATCAAGTCTTGAAAACTTCTTATATACCGACGAACTGGCATTGTTCCGAAACGCTTCGTACGTTCCAAATTGTTTGCAAATTTTGCTGTGATATATTGCAGCTTAAACCCCGCCGTATCAAAGCTATTGTACCTAAAACAACTTTGCGCGTTCCAATAGTGTTTGCAATTTTTGTTGATATGAAGGCCACCTCGACTCAGCTGGTGAGTAGTATAAAGCTGTTTACTCATTGTACTCTGCACTAAAAATTAAGGATGTCTGTGTGGTGGGTCCCTTTTATCAAAGTGTGCAATCACAATAGTAAGTGGGCGGTGAAAACACGAACAGTCAATTAAACGACTCATTTAACAATGATACAGGCTTAGTCTAAAAAACTTACATAAACACTGACACGTTCCAAGAATTTTGCACCGGATGAAAGGGATTATCACAAGGGGACATTTTCTTTGTTTTTCCCTCTCTTGACTAGTTCCCTTGCGGATTGTATATCAAGAATAGAAAGGCCTTTGAATATTTTTCATTCCAATTTGATTGTTTTGCATTGCCTCCAGAATGATCAACTGACTACCAATTGCAAACTTTTACATAGAAATTTGTAAGATTTAAAAACAAATTGCTGAACAAATTGAATTGGGAACTGTAACATTTTCGAGGTTTCTTCAATAATCAACTTCAGAATAGAAAACGGAAAATTGTGGTTGATTTGTTTAAATAACAGTTCAGTTGTAAATTAGTATATAAGCAATGAACAAAATCAGCGTGTGAACAGATTGGCCTCGCGATTTTATATCATAATCGTGGCCATATCAAGAATTTTGAATATTAAGCAAGTTAATAGATAAATATCGATCAATAAATTGGACTTTGGAAATGATCTTTAGAACTGGCATTTTGAATTTGTCTGAAAGGCAAATTTATGAATAGTTATGAATCATGAAAAGAAGAGGTCTGTGTATAGGTATACTATTGATAGCTGGGGCCTTTCCGTGAATTCCAGCAGGGGTCAGGTGTTTTTTTTTTTTTAATGCGTCGTTACCCGCATTAGGTCTGGGAAGGGCGGTGAGGTCTTTCTTTTTTTTGCCATTGCATTTAGAGAGCTTCAGGTTGAACCAAAATGTGGTCGTCAAAGGACAGGTTCGAAGAACTTAGAGAACAAACCACTTGGACCAATGACTCAAGAAGCTCAGTCAAGTTGTTCAAGTCTGCCTCGAGAAATTCTTCCGCATTTTCCGTGCTATATATCCAACTTTCCAAGTGCTTCTTATCTTGATGAATGCACGCTGACGTAGAAACTAGATGTTTTAAAATGATAATTTATTTATCGTTTTAAGCAAAATATTAGAACTCACAATATTATAAAAAAGGGTTAAAAGGGTCTAAACACAAGAAAATACCAACTTGATCACACAGTTTAAAATTCAAAGAGTCCAAAGAGATCGAGACACCTGTTTACAAAGCATTTCTTAAACCCATGGATAAAACCCAAGGATGCGACCCACAAGACTACTACTCAAATTCTTTTCTTTTAAGGCTCAACTTGCTGAACGTGTCAACATTTAAACTCTACTTTCTGCCGCTTATTAATTCGACTCAAGTGTTAAGTTTTAATTCTGATGTCTTCTTATACTTTCAACGGGAAAACCCTTGGGACAAGCGTCCCTAGATTGTAATGGAAGTACGTATCATGAATACGAAAGAGCTTTTAGCTAGTTTTCCGTTAAAGTTTCAGTCTTTTTGAAGAACTTCGTTCCTGATTAAGTGAAAACGGAACCATAGCTGCTACTGAGCTCCTCTTATTGTCTGCACGTCACAGATAACAAAATCATGCATTTACGTTGCCAAATTAAAGCTTCTGTCTCAAAGGAATTAGCATGCACGCTGCTAGTTCCGCTTTGCTTACTTTCGCGACGCACTTCCTAAAGCCGTCTAAATTACGAAGAAACTTAGACCCGTAAAGAGATGAATAGATAAAAGAATATATAAATAGATATTAGCACAGACAAAGGAATTAGTAGATTAACGATGGAAAAGATAAAAGACCAAAATTAAAAAAGGAAACATACCTCTCATAAATCCGAACATGTACAGAGGATGGTTTTGTTCGGTGCAAAGAACATGGAAACTGTCTGCTGAGACAATTTGATTTTAGTTCAGTTTATCACTCCTTATCACGCTTTCTCTTCTTTTAACAAAAAAATTAATGTTTCCGCCGGTTCTGTAGGTTTCCCAGGTCTCGTAGGCTTGACAGGTTCCGCGGTCTGCTGATCCACGGTTATGTACCCCTGCGGTTTCATACGAATTTACACACGCAACTTGTTCCGCTTTCCTTACTTTCGCGAAGTGCTTATGTTACTAAAGCCGTCGAAATTACGGGAGAAACTTAAAGTAAAGAGTAAATAAATAAATGAATTAATAAATAAATGAATAAATATCAGTACAGACAAACGAATTGATAGATCATTGCTGGAGAAGATAAATAATCAAATAAAGAAAACATACCTCTCATAAATCCATACATGTGTAGAGGATTGTTTTGTTCTGCGCAAGAAACCGAGAACCTGTCTACAGAGACAAAAATATATCTTAGTTCAGATTATCACATATGACTGATAATCACTCAGACAGTACACCCTTATGAATAATTAGAAACAAGAGGATGCAAAGGGTAACGTCATGATATCGTGAGCCAATTAGATACCCTTGAGTTAATTTGCCCTTCTGCCGATCCGCGGTTAAGTATCCTGCGATTTCACACGAATTTACACACGCAACGTGTTCCGCTTTCCTTACTTTCTCAAGGTGCTTATATTACTAAAGCCGTCGAAATTACGGGAGAAACTTAAAGAATTCAGCTTCAGTTGGTGGGCTGTATTTTCTGCAAGGTAGAGGCCAGACTAACACGGACTTTGTCATTGTAGTTATTGTTATGATTATTATAATTATCATTATTATTAATGATTTTGTTATTGTTATCATTATCTTTATGATTGTGATTGAATCATTTTCAAAATGAAATAGGCTGCTCAATGAGGATGGCATGCTGAGGCAAGTAGATTTTCATTTATTTACCCCCCCTCCCCCCAAGTAGAAATTCAAGTGTTTCTGATAGTTTTTCTCTTCAATAGATTGTTAGAATGCAGAAGATTTTCTAAGACACATTGTACAGAGGGCTTGTCTTAAGTAGTTGTTTTCTGATTCAAAACCACCTGCCTAGTTCTGTTTCTCTTGGGTAGTTAGTCCATGGACTGTTGTTATCTGATGGCAGAACTAACAGGTGGATCTGTTTCTCTTGGGTAGTCAGTCCATTATGGGCTGTTGTTATCTGATGGCAGAACCACCAATCTGTTCTGTTTCTCTTGGGTAGTCAGTCTATGGACTGTTGTTATCTGATGGCAGAACCAGTCCCTATTTTTTTCAGCTCTATGCTGTCAGTCTTTTATGGACAGTTATTTTTATCTGATGGCAGTTTTAGCTTGCTCTTTTTGTTTTGAAAAATGTGTTGCTTATGCNCCCAGAGCTTATTATTTTTGTTTTAGAGGTGAATTGCGATTTCTTGTATGTCCCCTATTTCGTCGAAGAAAAGCTCGAACAAATACTGAAAGTAATGAGTAAGTCACTATGAACAACTAGTGCAAAGTGACAGCACTATCGAGCCAAACTGAGAACTGTTCTTTAATGATTTTTAACATGAACCACCAATTCTTACTATTTTTAATTTCTGCGTTTTAATAGACTTTGACATGTTCTTGAGAAGATATTAAATCGGTTAGCGCTGTTGTTCCCTTCTAAATTATTTTGGTGGAAGCGCCTCAGAAGACACTGGTTTAACTAAAACCATGTTGGGCGACGTTACATTTTGACTGCACAACCCGCAATTAAATTTAATTTTAACAGCTATTCGAGTGTGTGAAGAACGGAAAAGAGCAAAATTACATACCATCGGCCTTTCGATGCACGGACGAATTAAAACTTTTTACAATTCCACTTATCCATTGCTTGTAACTGATAGACCTTGTCCTTATTCTTGCGGGAGGCCGTACGATCTGTTGTCCATTGTAGAACTTGGCAAACTTAGCGCACTCTGCCTCGAGCGCAACAATGTGATCTTTCGATTCTCTATCTCACTAGCGCAGTTGTTGTGTTGAACATGGACGAATAATACATCGCAGCGTGTCTTGTAGATAGCTAGAGATGCCATGCATGTTTAGGATAAGCGCTGAATATGGACGAGCGTTAAAGCCGCCACTGAAAAAGCACAATCGACCGTTTTTCATTGTAAGGATCAGGTCTTTCACACAGCTGTCAGAATTAAAGAGAGGAAGAACGTCGATCTCGCTCACCTAAGTAGCGAAGTACACCACGAGCGGCGACGATGATCAAACACCTGGAAGATCACCGTGGTGTCCCTCTACTCTTTGGTATCATAACCAAGAGCGAGCCCTTTCGACTTGTCACTAAGTTTTACGGTTTATAAAACAAAGGCCCCGCTCTACACAAAGCCTTAAAGAATGAAACACTAGAAAAGCTTACTTAGCTTGGAATTATAAAAATTTCCTTTCTTAAAAATCGAAGATTTTCATGGTTTCCGTAACTTCGTATTTTTCCAAATTTCCTCTTTTGCATGTTATGCTGTTTTGCATTTTCTTCAACGTATAATTTAGTTCAGCGTCGATCATTTATCATCCTTAGAAGAAAATATTCTGATCTTTACGTTTAACTATAAAATTGCTTTGGCTTACATTGTGCGCATAAAAGGAGCGTTAAATTAAACATGAGTTGATTCCACGCGAGGGTTTTACCTGGAAAAATGCCTGCACACGAGAGACACCGACATTACCGCGTGTCCCTTTCTGGAAAACATTCGTGTTATGACAAGAAAGGTCAGCTTAAGGGTTTTGGGTTACCCAAACTATGCAATTTTGACGCCGAAAAGTGCCAAAAAGTAATTACAGAAACTTCATCCGCAACACCTTGAACGTGCTGTGGGCGCGAACTGAGATCTTCTCTTACAGTTAATAATTGCCAGGCGGAACTCAGATCCGGCTTAGCCTAATTTGCATAAATTTTTTTGGTGGGCAAAGCTCGTCACGGTGTTTGGAAAAGGCGCGTTATAAATTTTTAATTATTATTATTATTATTATTATTATTATGATTATTATTATTTTTTTTATTATAATTATTATTATTATTTGATGTTTTCTCATCACTTTCCCAAAACGCTATCGTCCCGCACCACCGTCGAACAATTCCATCTCTGGTCTTTAAACTGTTGATGACACTGTACGACTCCAAATTTAGCCCTTTTTCCAATGCGTATCATAACATCGGGGTTTTCTCCGCAAGTTGTCATTGGTACGTTACCAAACCGGCGATGTTATAACGCATAATTCTGGCTCCCAGAGCATACACTTGGGACATGAACCTGGTGAGAATTTGACACAAACAAAATATCACTTAGTGCAACTGTTTCTCGTTCATGAGGCGAATAATTATCAACACAGCGTTAATCGAGAATGAGTAACAAGATTTCGGATAATCTTCTTTGTGTTGAAGTTTATAAGCAGAACTTACCACCGGTGAGATGTCGAAAGTAGCGAAATTGTAAACAGGACTAAAGTGAAAACCAAATATTTAGCTTATGCAGTGTGAGTAACTAGCGAACGCACTGTTGAATGCGTTATAATCGACAAATCTTTGTGCTTCGCTAGTTCACTCGATTAAAACTGTCGCCTGTACTGAAGAATGATGATGAGGAAACTTTCTTAAGGTGTCTTAAGGAACCTCCTAGCTTAGGTTAAAGAACCTGTGCTAATTAGGGGACACAACATAAATAAATATAAATTAAGGTAAAAAAATATTTAAATATAAGCGTAGGTAAAACGATATTAACAATATTTGCAGTGTGACAAATGTGTCTATGAATTACAAAGATGACAGCACTTGCATCTACTATCCATTAGTGTAATTAAATCTAATGTACGTATTTTACTATTTATTTCTCAAGCCATTAGTATGTGAGTTTGGGGTACTAAAATAACTAGACAGTAGCGGTTAAGACAGCGCGACCTTAAAAGACTGCTGATCGGTTAAGAGACTATATCTGGAGTCCAGTTGAGGGCGGCTCTACTGAAGTTAACAACATGTCCTTGAGTGCTGTTATTCATGTAACAGCAACCCTCTCTAAACTGCGCACGAAGATATAATGTAGAAAATCGACCGGTCAAAAAGATAGTGAACGATAAACTGATTAGCCCAAAGCGACGGCAGCTTCGAAAGACATAGAGCGTTAAGAAGAGATGGAGTAATCTGACTCTAATCAGATAGAAGTAATATGGCTCGACCACTAAGTTTATCAATGGGTTCCTGCTAAAACTTACCTTCCTGATCATCGTGTTCTACAGCCCTTTGTTCGGTCACCCGGACTACATTTTGTTGTTAGAAGTACAAGATAAGCTCTAGTAGCCTTTCAACGAACATAATAGACTTTTAATGGGGTTACTCACACTGCAGAAGCTAAATATTTGGTTTTCACTCTAGTCCTGTTTACAATTCTGCTACTTTCGACAGGGTTTTAAGTTTAAGAAATGCAATCAAGGTACTTTATACCTTCAATAAAGATTTATTTTTTTAACAATTTGCCATTTTCCATTGGGTGCCTATTTTCTTTAATGTATGAGGTGAAAATCTGAAATTCAAATCACTTTCCAGAAATCTTAATTAACAAATTGTAAACACCACAGCGTACACTATTGAGTTATGGATGCACGCGGGAGGTTGCTAAGCACGAAAGAAGCGTAAGAGTCGCTCGAGGCGATAGCCGAGAGCGACTCTAGCTTCTTGAGTGCTTAGCAAACCTCCCAAGTGCATCCATAACTCAATAGTGTACGCTGTGGTGTTTACCATTTGTTTTATAACATAACATTGATACATTGTAGCTAAAGAGTTCCCTTTTATTTAACAAATCTTACG